GGCGGCGGCGACGGGAGGGTTGGAGAAGGCGGTGAAGGAAGCGTTCACGGCGGAGAATCGGAGTTTGACGCTGAAGGACACGCTGAAACCGGTGTTGATTCCGTGCTACGACTTATCGAGTACGGCGCCGTTTTTGTTCTCACGTGCGGACGCGTTGGAAACGGATAGCTTCGATTTCCGGTTGTGGGAGGTGTGTCGCGCCACCTCGGCCGAACCGGGTTTGTTCGAACCGGTTCAGATGCGGTCCGTGGACGGTCAAACGAAGTGCGTGGCCGTGGACGGTGGGTTGGCGATGAGTAACCCAACCGGTGCGGCAATCACGCACGTGCTGCACAACAAGCAAGAGTTTCCGTTCGTGCGAGGCGTGGAGGACCTTCTGGTTCTTTCTCTTGGAACGGGTCAACTGTTGGAGGTGAGTTACGACTTTGACCGCGTCAAACGCTGGAAGGCCAAGGACTGGGCCCGGCCCATGGCCCGCATTTCTGGCGACGGCTCCTCTGACCTCGTCGACCAGGCCGTCGCCATGGCCTTTGGTCATAGCCGCAGCACCAATTATGTCCGCATTCAGGTATTCTTTTATTTTATTTTTTATTTTTTTTATTTTTGTGGTTTGTCAAATTGCCAATTAATTATGGTTTGTGTAAATGCAATAGGGAAACTGTGAATGGGTCTCAATTCCTGGTCGAGTTTGTGAATTTCATAAACGTTAAGGAGTATTTAATGGAGTCAATTTCACACCAGCCGGAGGGTAGGGGGTGTGGGGTTTCCGTAGGGGATCTGTTGTGTGTTGTCTGCGTGTAGCAAGTTGATGAGTATGCTATGGTATGGGGTAGGATAGCTGGATTTGGACTTGTTAGGGGATATCTGTTAATTAATGTTGTGCTTTTTGTCCATTTTGTGTTAAGGAAACCTTGCCTTCCTTGAGAATGGAGTGAATAATAAATAATACACTTGTTGTTATCCCAGTGGAGGACCAAAGGGTGGTATTGGGTATTGTGGAACTTTGAATTCAATTTCATTTTGTCAGATGTATTAAAGGAATGACCAATTCAGACTCACTCTTAACTAGAGCCGTGTGTAGGAGTACACCTTTTTAGGTATAACTTTTAATAAAGCCCATTTCATATTGGTTGAGATTGTGATCACCCAAAGTGTTGCTTTTGATGTGTATATCTCGTCATTTAATTTCTTTTATGCTAAATTGCTCATTCATTTGAGTTTATGATGCTAGCCTGGCATTGGACTTTTAAGTTTTAACCCTCCCTCTAGTTAACAAATTCTTACTGAGATTACACCATTCTTGGGTATTTCAGTTTTACATTATGGATCTTCTGAGGCTTCTCGTATTTGTATGACAGGCAAATGGGTCAAGCATGGGGCGATGTGGACCCAATGTGGATACAGATGCAAGTCCCGGGAATGTAAAGATGCTGATTGGAATAGCAGAGGAGATGTTGAAGCAGGAGAATGTAGAGTCAGTACTGTTTGGAGGAAAGAGGATTGGGGAGCAGAGTAACTTTGAGAAACTTGACTGGTTTGCTGGAGAACTTGTTCAGGAGCATCAGAGGAGGAGCTGCAGAATAGCACCCACTGTTGCTTTCAAGCAAGCTACCCCAAAAGCGACCTAGGTCATGCCCAACAGTTCAAAGAATCAACCTAAAGAAAAAGGTAATCACTCTTTGTTGTTTTGTATTGTGTTTTACCTAAATAATTTATAGACATCCTTTCAAAGAAAGCGTTTTAGGGGACCCGCTAAATAAATTACCAAAGGGAAGGCATCTTAATTAAAATAGTAATGGATAAAATGATGGCAATAAAATACTCTGTTCAGGTGTTATTGTTATTACTTTTTAAGAAACCAAACATGCCCGACATTGCTCAACTAATCCCATTTTCTAATAGCTCCATTTTATCAAAAACACAAGCTTTTATGCTGATATGTTAAATTCCTTTTTCTGTTTAGTCATTTCGTCTGTTACTTGAAGTTGAAAGTGTTTTTACCGAATGAACCCCTTCCTAAGTTTTATTTTTTGGTTTATAATTATTTTTCCGTTCTCTTGTGAAACATTGGTGAAATGGTGAAAATAGTGATTGGTAAATTTAATTGGTGGGGGATGAACACCCCACTTGTGGATGTCTTGTACTGAAATATCATACTGGTTCATCCGAACTACCCCAATTGAATTATATTGACTAGCAAAGAATTGTTATCAAGAACAGGTGCTGAATTTGTCAGCTTCTGTGTATGCGTGGACGTGAACTTGTCTAAGTTGTCTTCTTATTAGTTCAGTATAGATTATCAAATCTTTTAACAAGCGATTGTTGTTATATGTCGTATTGAGAGGAAGATGAAAGAACATAGGGGATGTCGGGCCACCGACACTTACTGTTAGTATTGGGAAAGGGCATTGTGGTCAATTTATTTCAAAAGGGAGAAAAGCAGGGTGGGAACTTGGAAGATGTTTAAGAGGGTATTTTGATCATAAAGAATGAGATCATAGCGGGGCACCCTTAAAAGTATTTCCGTAGACCTGAAAAGGTGCTTCTTATGTCATGATGCTAAGGGTGGTTGGTTTCATTTAAACAGGTGGTTGACTATTAACTTTGCTCTTCAGGGTAAAACAAATTAAGTCGAGAATTGAGATTCTTAATTTCATATGCAGAGGGCATTTAGGTAATTTGACTGAAATTTCACTACTTGTAGGTCATACCACTAATTAAGTAGGTTCCTTTTTCTGAGGTTTGTCGTATCCTGGCTCCTCCTTTGATCCGTATATTTGGTAGCATATCTCCGATGGTAGTTTTCTAGACCCCTGAATAAATGACTAGGTCTAATCCTATTCCATTTCTGTAAACTTGCAGATTATTATTCAAACCACTTAACATTTCCTGCTAGATTTCACTGATATCAATTTTCACACTTTAATTGAGTAGGGGCTCTTTTTATAAGTATGTTTCTATGGGGAATTAACTTTATTACATAATTTTGACTAAATAAAGAACATTTGGGGGCAGTCACAGAGAAATTGGTTTGCTAGATTCGAGGAAGTCTGACTATTAAGGGAACAATGAAATGGAGACAACATTACAGGCATGAGCACTTGAGCAGATATTTTTTTAAAAGAAAATAACTGAACAAAAGGTATTCACTATTAAGTCACTGCTCACATGTCCCCTGGAAAGAGAGAATGTTCATCACAGGCTCAAAATCCAAACATTTCCCCTTTTATTCTTTCAAACTATCGAATGATTATGTTGTCCAATTGTTGAAGTTTAAAGAATTTGATCTCATCAATGGGGAAATCCTTGTGGTCAATTGTGTGTAAAAGATTTTGACGTAGAAATTTTATTTCTTGCAGGGAAAAACCAATATAGGAGGAAGCAGGAGTAAGGGAAAAAAAGAGAAAAGAAAAGAAAAAGGCAGATAGTAGTAGTATAGCAGCTTTACTTTTCAAGATAGACAAAGAAGGTTAGGGAGTCGAGTGAAAAGGACAAGTGGTGTAAAAAAGGTGGAAAATCTTTGTGGGATACTTTGCTCTCTAGAGGACAGACATTGTGGTGTCCACTCTACCTTTCTATTAGGGTAAGAAACCCAAAAATGAAAAAGCCAAGTGTCTGAGTTGAAGCTTTTTAGGGTCAAACATGAATCAAGTGTGAATTTTTTATTTTAAAAATGAGAATTCAGGGTCGTAAATTGAATCACATTCTTCCATTTTAGTTTCTTTCTTTCTTTTATTTTTTTTAAGGATATTCTGTAAATCTCTTTCTTTATATTAAAACAGTTTCATCCCTGCTTGAAAGAAACTGAGATGGTGGTGGGCTACATTGTTATTATAAATTTTAAATATGTGGTTATACTTGTCTCCGACACGGATTGATTTTTACTGTTCTTTAATTTCTTAACACGGGTTATGTAACCAATGTTGAGTGTTACTTTTTTTTTTATTTTTTTTTTTAATGATCACCAGTGTCGCCTGTGACAATGGATGAGCAGTCATGTTCATGGCTTGGTTCTATCGGATTCTTTATTTATTTTTCTTCATAAGTGTAGATTAAAACAAGACATGATTTTTTTAAGGTGATTTTTTAATAGAATTATGAATTATTTACTCTATCCTACACTAATAGATTTAGTGTTGATCAAGAAATTAAAAGTAATCAAATTTTATTAGTATTACCAACATATTAAATAAAAAAAATTAAAAGGATATTGATTAAAAAATTATGGCATATATGTAGTGTTTCAAAAATCGGATCGGACCAGCCGGCCGCGTACTGGTTGAATCGGGAACTGGTGGTCCAGTCGATCTGAATCTTAAGTTGGATCGGTTATGTATTTGACCTGTTTCAAACCGGATTGAACCGGTCAATTTTTTGGTTCGACTAGTGAACTGGTGGATCAAACCGGTTCAATCACAAATGTTTTTTTTAATATTTTTTTTAAGAGATTACAAATCACAAAAATAACAATGAGAATTGAATCTTTTAATGGAATAACAAAGAGTCTTATTAAACATATCGATGACTACTTGTTCTAATGTATTTATTTGTAATATATGCAACTTAAGTAACTTTTATAACATATTATTAATTTTAAATTATATATTTAATACTATGTAGATATTACATATTTTATTTTGTGATATTAATTGCAAACATATTATATATATATATATTATTTATATTTTTAATTTGTATTAATATATAGTTTAACATATAATTTTTTTTTATGTATTTCTTTATACAAAATAAAAATAAAGATAATTTTAAATAAGATGAATATTGAAATTTAAAATAGGATATGAATTTATTAAAATTTATAAGTATAAAATATATTTAACATGAATTTTTTTTTAAAAAAATTAATAAAAACTAGGCCATGCAGTTCAATTGGTGACCCGCTGGTTCAACCTTTGGCCCACTGACTCAATACCCTAACCGGTTTGATGATCGATTTGGTTTTTAAAACTATGCATATATGTGTTGCTAATACTATTTCATAAAATTCATTTATTTATTATTTTTAATCTGTATTTGACTAAAGGTTTTATCGTACAAGAATATATGGTTCAGGGTTAATATTAGCTATTTCATTATTAAATAGAGACATCGCTTAGGCATAAAAACTTATTTGAGGAGTGATGACAAATGTGAACGTGTCTACTAGGACCGGTGAAGAGCTCACTAGTGAGGAATGAGACTTGTTGGTAAGGAGTCATCCTAGGGTGAAACATTCAGGCATTGAGCAATGGTACCGGGGGCAAGTTCACAACCATGGGTTAGGGTCTTCGACAAGAACATCAAAAGTTTCTAACTTTATGGGGAAAAATGCTTCCTTTCCTACCATTGTGGGTGAGGCTTTGAAGCGAGTAATAGTTTCGTTTAAGGATATTATTAGCGAGGTTAATGAGGGCTCCGCATCTCAGAGTATGGACATCGAAAAAGACTTTATGTTGGAAGAAGACATTGACAAGGAGTTTCTTACTTTTGAAGAACTTGATGAGGGTAGTAGACAACCACTTTGCCCCAATGTGAGGGTCTCAAAATAAGAGGTGAGGAGGACTTGCCAACCTTGAAAATGATTAATGATAGTGAAGCTTCTTGAAAAACACATAGGATAGAGACATCTCAAGACTCGATTAACTAGACCTTGGTTCACTTCGTAAAATGGGTAGATGTCTAATTTGTCATCAATGACGATTCGCAACTCATCTTAGGGCACTATCTGATGGTGCAAAGGTGGCACTTGGGTTTTAAGCCTACAAAGAATGAGTTTAGGAAGGTTGTTGTTTGGGTGAGCGTTTCATGTTTGCCTTTAGAGTTCTATGATGTGGGTATTTTATCCATGATTGGTAATAGGTTGGGAATGTTATCTCAAAACAGAGCCTCATACTTTGTAGAGGCTTGAGGAATGGGTTGAAGATTCCTACTCCATAGAGTGACACAAGAAATAAATTTGATTCAAGCAACACCACAGGATGAGGAAGTGAAAACAACTATTTTAAGTATGGGTGCTTTTAAAGCCTCGAGTCCTGATAGCTTACACCCTTTGTAGGGACAAGGTTGGGGAATCAATGTGCTATCATGTTTGCAAGGCTTTCTCTAAGCCTCGATCTTTTGAAGGTCTCAACAATATCAATATCGTGCTTATCTAAAAAAATAAGCACCTAATGACAATTCGTGACTAACTTATGTAATGTTATTTACAAGGCATTAACGAAGATTGTGGCTTCACGACTAAAACTGTTTATGACTAGATTGGTCTCTCCTAAGCAAATTAGGTTCATTCCTAAAAGGCAAGGTTGTGATAATTGATCCTGGCTCATGGGGCATGCCATACCATCTAGAGGACCAAATGGAGGAATAGGTACATGGTCATTAAAGTTGATTTGGAGAAGGCCTACAATAGTGTCAAGTGGTCTTTTGTTGTAGTACCTTTCGTGATCTAGGGTTTGATGAAAATTTCATTGATATGATTTTTCATTGTTTGTCCTCTATCTCTTTTGTGTAGACACCGTTTAGCCCTAACAACATCTTCAGTACGAAGATCTATTATCTCCTTACATTTTTGTGTTGTGCATGGGGCGTCTATCCCATCTGTTGCAAGTAGAGTTGGATAAGAAGACATAGAAACCCCTTATTCTAGCTAAAGGGGGATCCACCTTTCCCATTTGTTTTTTGGTTGACAATCTACTTTTGTTTAGGGAACCTTCTTGGACTCGATGGAAGGAATCCTCAAGGCCTAAGTCTCTTTGTTAAAGTTGTTGGAACTCAAGTTAGTAACACCAAAACAATGGTTTTTTTTTTCTCTAAAGGGGTTAACCAAAATATCAGCGCTGAGTTGATTGCTTTAGGGGGACTTCAAGATGACAATTGACCTTAAGAAATACATAGGAATCCCCTCCTCGCATACTAGGAAGAAGAGGAGCTCTTATCAACATCTTATTGACTATCATTTATCTAATTAGAAAGCTAACCACCTTGCTCTATCTGATCGAGTCACCTTTACATAGAGTGTGATCCAAGCCATGCATGCATACACTATACAGTTTATTTTGATCCTTAAAAACATTTGTTGAAATCTTGAAAATATGCAAAGACGTTTCATTTGGAACAATAATAGGCTTGGGAGGGGGTGGCATACCATTCCTTGGGAATCTTTCTATAGAGATAAGCATGAGGGTGATCTAGATTTCCTTAATATTCATATGTTTAACATGGCATTCATGATGAAAATTGCGTAGGAATTAATTTCTAATCCTCGTGCTCTTTTGGGTGCAAATTATTCGTCCTAAGTATGGGTGTGGGAATAAGATGCTTCTAGAGGTCAAAGGTAGGAGTTGGGATTCTCAGGTATGGAAAGGATTCGTGGCCATTTGGAATCAGGTGGTTGACAATACTAGATGGGTCATTCAGAATGGTTTGAGTGTGTACGTTTGGCTTGATAAGTGGCTCTTTTCGAGTGTTGCTCTTATTTTAGTGGTTATTTACCCTCCCCCTCTTCATGTGTATAATTGTAAGGTGGTGGAGTATGTAGGTGGAGATGGTTTCTAGGAGGTAGCCCGGTTTAGTTCCTTCATTTCGTCTTCTCACCTTGAAGAAATCGAGGCTTATCCCCTTTCCCTAACTTCAATATGGGGATGATTGTCATTCTTGGAGGTTGAATATGAGTCCTCCTGAAATTGATTGGAGAAAGATCTAGGTTTAGCAGGGCCTGCAACGTATAAAACATTTCATATGGGTTGTTCTTCGCCATGGTTTGAAAACAAATGTGAAAAGAGCTTTATGTGGGTTGGCAAAAGTGGATACTTGTCCTCTTTGTTGCAGTCATGCCAAATCCACTTGTTATGCTCTTAGAGATTACCATCATGTTAAACATCTATAAGATTCATTAGGGTGAACTATGGGATCCATTTGAGGGATTTCTTTAACTACAATTATACTGACTAGATTATGAGAAACTTATCTCACAGTTCCAAAGTGTGGACATATCTTTTTGGCATTACCATTTGGTAGATTTGGATTGCTAGAATGAGTTTATATCCTCGGGCTCTACTTGGAATTGGGAAGTAGTTGTTCATAAGGCTAAATTCATATAGTTGGAAGTGGAAATCACTATAGGGCTTGATTACCATAGAAGTAGAAGGATGGAGGATAAAAGAGTCTCTTGGAATTTATCCCCGTCAGATTGGGTTAAATATAATATGGGTGAGCCGTGGGTCCATTAGGAGGGTTGGGAATCAGTCTACTTGTGTGGTTCTCAAGGATGCAAGTGGTAGTTGGATTTCACAGTTTTGCAAAAGATTGGAAGGTTGTACCATCACAGCAACTGAAATTTGGGCCATTGTTACAATCATGGAGCACACTTGACAATTGGGTATGGGTGGAGATAGATTCTTTAGCAACTTGCTCTCTTTTTAACACTGGCTCTATGTTAAGTTAAAAGACAATCTTAGGTTCCTTGAACCCTGAGTTTTATTGCTAATAAACAAAGTATTTTTATAAAGAAAAAATGTCTGCAAAAATGTATTTAAAGAATATCTTTGAAAATCTTATCAAATGAAGTGTAAGATATAAATTGTTTTTGAGATGTTATAAATCAGATAAAACATATAGTCTATCTCAAATACATTGAATGTTTATTATTTATTGAGATTAATGACAAAGTTTGTATTAAATATTTCCTTCCTTAACAGATTGAACCAGAAAATCATCTTGGAACTCACAAATTTATTAAAGAGAAGAACCATATTTTTCGTCAAAACTAAGATCCCTAAAATCACGAAGAAAAATATATAAAGTCATTGTTATAGTTGTTCTACACTGACATTGCTTCTACAAGTTTCGTTTATTATGAAAAGTTGATAAGTAACTTCATTGATTAAATAAGAGGTACTATTTGGTTAAATGGATTTAATATTTGCATTAAATGAGTCGAACGGTCACTTGTCATCACAAAAAAAGACTATGAAGACAGACAAAACAAACTTGTGAGCTGGACTCAAAATGTTGCAACGGTCATCTTCTCCAAGCTACTATATAAGAAGGTTCAAAACACAAGAAAGAATGAATGAATAGATATAAATACATTTATACAAAAACATACTCTTTGCAAATTTATTCTTTCTTGTTAACGCTTATTGCTTTGTATTGGTTATATAACATCTAATTGAGACGAACACAATATTTGTGTAACTTTCATAACCATTAAAGTTGAGCTTGAAGAGATTTGTTTGAAAAATAATACTTTTTTTATGCTTAAAGCGACTTAACTATAAATGAATATTTAGTTGTAATTTTGTTTTTTCTTGCCTGAATAAGAAAATGTCTAGCTATATTTGGTAATGCTTTGATTAAAACTTTGGAAAAGTGAAATGCCTATTGTTCTTACCGGAATTTGTCGTAGGGACGATCTTTCACGTAAGATTGGTGAGCCTTCTTCACTGGTACATTGATGCTCCAAGATGGGGGTGGTACCTGCAAAAGAGACTTCGATGCTAAAGTTAGGGTTTGTATGATTAATAGTCTCGTATAAGTAATGCACATACCTTGGAGTGGATTAGGGTTGCTTTGGGCTCTGGGCCTGAGATAAGATATGATAGCGGCTCTCGTCTGGGGCGAGATCTTCAGTAATCAGTGATTAGATAATGGATCTCGTATGGGCGAGATTCTCGGGAATCAGTTGTGATTCACCTGAATGTCGAGCTGACGTCGTATGACACGTGCCCGAGATCATCTTGCACTGTGATGCCGAGCTCGGAGCTCGGCTTCGCGGTACGGTCAGTACACTAGCCCCCCGAGCTCTAAAGACCGTAGGTCGAGGAGTTAAGACCGAGCTCGCCAGGGGGAAGTGACCCTTCGCGTATGTCCGCCTGTCAAGATGCCACGCGTGCAAAAGTCGTTTCGTATTTCGAAACGCGAGGTCGGTACGTTAGTGGTTATGATGGTTATCCAATGATGGCTTCCTCTATCATAATGGGTCTCATTTAATGCGTGGTCAGGCGTGTCCCCTGGGTGACAGGTGTCGTGACCGTTTTGAAATTCTGGGGGAGAGTTTTTTCTTTTCTCTCACTCGCGCTTCTTGGCCTTTTTCACTTTGCTCTTTTCCATTCTTGTGGCTTCTTGTGCACGCCGTTGCTCTCGCTTTTCTGCTTGTCTTCCGTCTCCGTCTTCTCCGTTTCTGCCACCGTTTCCGGTAACCCAGTCACTACTAGGGTTGATTTTTGAGGGAGAGTACCAGGTACTTCCTTTCTACAGTCTTCTTTTTCCCTCTTCCCCAACCTTCTTTAAGTCTTTCTTGTCTTTTTCATGGCTGGGGGAAGTGGTGTCGGTTCTTCTGCGCCTTCTCAGGGCAAGGCTCGTGGTAAGGCGGTGGCTACCGGGAAAGCCGCCGCCGAAAAGAGGGAT